GATGTTTGCTTTGTGTCCTGTTTTTTCGTAAACTTGGCAAACAGGTCTATCTCCTCCAAAAGAGTTTGCTCCTCTGCCTCTGCCTCTTCTTCCACTTCTGTAGTGGTTAAAATTAGTGAATCTTTCTCCTGCATTTGGCCTGTTAGACCTGAAGTAGTTGTGACCAAAGCCAGTTCTCTAAGAGATGTTGACTGAGGTTTGGTCAAGGTTCAGGCTTGTCATCCCGTTCCTGATTGAATTGAGGTGTTCCAACCTACTTTCATAGGTCATTAATGTGGATTGGAGCTCTTCCCAAGACATGTGATCTTTGGTATTTAATTGAACTACGATTGGCGTGTAATCTTCATCCAGTCCGGCCAATACTTGAGTGATCAGGTCTGTGAGAGTAATAGTTTTTCCAGCAATCTCTAAGTTATCAGATGGTTGTTTCACCTTGTCGAGGTATTGATCTATGCTCATATTTCCTTTTCTGTATTTTTGAAGTTCTCCAGTGAGGAACACTATCCTGGATCTATTCTGAACTCCATAACTTTCTTCAATGGCAGTCCATAGTTCACTCGACTTGGCTGCACCCATCACTCGCATTGCTATGTCTGAAGTTATTGAGGAGTAAAGCCATCCCATCAACAGCTGATCTGTTAACATCCATTGGCAGTATTCGAGATTTTTTTATCATTTCAATACTGGTGCCTACTTCACCAGAAACTTGAGTGCTAGTGAACTCTTGAGGACACTTCCTTGTCCCAAGAATGTAACCTTCCAGGTTGTTCCCTTGATAATTGGTAGAATCATATTCTTCCATAGTAGATAGTTATTTTTATCCAAATTTACATACACAATTTGAGTGAGATTTACACCAAATGGTGAGAGCTGATTACTTCCAGTCAATAGTGCAGCAGTGCTGCTGGAGATGGAATCAGGGGCTGTGATTGGATTGACATTTTGAGGTGTAAGGCTGGCGTCTGCCATTAAGACCCTAATACCAAGTGAAAATGTTAATGGCTGGAGATGATA